CCACCTAATAATTTAAAAGTAGTAGTGTAGTCATGAGACAGAATCATGGACTCATTTCAAGAAGAGGGTTAATCTTCAGAAGGTGATAACCTTCACAGTGTTATAAAAAAGGGTTTCAAGTCCCGGAACAGTGACTGAACTAGGTGGTTTTCAAAGGCACCTTGCGGTTCACAGAGGGGCCACAGAAGCAGCAGTAGCAGGGGTCAAGTGTAGGATGCTGGACATGGCCACTGCCACCACCCACTCCTACCCTGCTTTATCCCAAGCTCTGCTTCCACCTCTGTTGCCATCTATTCCAGACCAGATACTGAGCAAAGGTTCCGAGGAGGTGCCAGATGCTCTCTCAGGTCCATTCTGAGCTGAGCTGCTATAAATTTTTACTTTCAGATTCTTTCCAGAAACACAGAGCTTCAAGCTAAAAGGGTTTCATAATAACTGAGAGGCACAAGGTAGGGTAAAGAAAATGTGAAAAACAATAGCACCCAAAAATTAACCTTCCCCACCTCTTCCTAAGAAATTAGACATTTTCTATTTAAGTGTAATTAAAATACATTTAAAAAGTTAAATCTCTTCAAACACTGAGATATACAGTAAAAGACAAACAAATCAGCAAGAAAACCTTTCCTCAAACTTTCAGTTTGAATGTCCTGCAGAGACCAAGCTTGGAGATCTGCCCAAGAGCGGGAGAAGTGGTTCTCTTTGAAAGGGCTCCTGTTCAAACAAGGGATGGTTCTGAACACGCAAGTGAACTGGGACATGCAGACATCACAGCAGTCCTTCTGTTCAGGGTCTCTGACTCCTGTTCATATAAGAGGTGACCCTCTCGGTGACACTAAGAGTTGACATTCACTTGCATATACAAAGGACATTAAATAACCATAATACAGAAGTGCCTATGAGTGCACCTGGCATTACTAGGTGCTATTGCAGCGTCACAATATGTGTCGTTTTCCTTAACGCAATTTGGTAGTTATTACCCACTGGTTAACATTTTCACATGAATATTTATTGATGAAAACCTCATAGCCCAACAAAAACTTATGTTACTTAGGGGAAAATGTTTCTAAACATTCTGAGCATTTTTCTGGATATAATAAGGTACATTTTGTGAATTACAGTAGTTTTAGAAACAATCTTAACGTAGTCCTGTAAGTTAAAACAAATTTTTAGCAAAGATTCAAAGTCTGTTTTAGGAATTGCTTTTCATCTGCAATATAATTAATAGCTATATTTAAAAAACAAATGAACAACAGCTTTGGAGAGAGGCTCTAGGAGACACTTCATTCCATCCAGTGCCCAGGTCCAAGAATAAAGGAATGTATGACTACATGGAAGGCGTAAAAAGGCAAGGAATGAATTAAGGGGTGGATAGATCATAGACTTTTAACTTTTGGCTAGTTACATGAGATATTTCGAGTGTTGATGAATAGAATGCGTAACGAGTGATTTCAATTTAAGCTAATAACTATGCTTACATTCTAGACAGCTGGTTTTTCATGATAAAAGAGATCAGCTGACTACAGAGGAAGAATCCAATTTATGTTGTGTAAAGGGAAAGACATTTCCCAAATTTTAAGGTGAAAAAAAGGTTAATTCTGGAAATTTTGTGGTTTTTTTCCCCCCTCCATTAAGGCAAAAAATGCTTAGAGATCATCTCCCATAACACAGGCAGAGGTGAATGGGAATGGAGGTATTTCTGTAACTTTCTTCTGGACATCAAGCTCCTTTTCTTTGTTTAAAATAAATGAATACCATAGCTTCGCCCCTCCCCCGACTAAAAATGGCAGCAATGAGACCCATTTACTATTTTAGAAAATGACTAATAAAACACATATTTCATAATCATGTGATTCAAATAACTTAACACATACAAGTAATTAAAACCACGTCTGCACTTATCCTAAAATGACAGTCACATTTTAAAATCTTTCACTTATCAGGTCACATTTACATGAAAAAAATAAAATAAAATCTTTTCATGTTCCATGAGGAGGGAAGGAGGTAGAATTAAATCTGACACAGTGCTAGAAGAAGGTGAGTGAAATCTTTAATGAAAAAACTGCATTAGGAACTAGACTTCTGTCTTTCTAAGGGAAATGCTCTACTCATGTTTTCCAGAAAACATAGTTGCTAGAATGTGAAAATAGAAAACACCCATTGCATTAATTAAAATGTTATTTAAAACATTATTTCAAAATCCCATGTGACAATAAGAAACTTCCTAATTACCATATTCTGAAATGTATCAGGTAAATAGGTAATGAAATGCATTCAATTAGTAGAGTTGATTATTTTGCTTGTTTTAATAAGGGTTTGCCTTCTTGTAAGATAAGTTGGCCAAACTGCATATATATGAAAGTCTAGGAAACTCTTGAACAGACTATAAATTATATGGATCCACCGACTAGGAAGTTTCTACCCTTGACATTTCTGGTTTTGTTGCCCATTTGGGGGTCCAAGGAGAGGATGCAGGCAGAGCCGAGTGGTGCAGTTTCCTCTCAACCCTACAATCAGAAACAGGCTGGCACAAAGGGGACCACGACCATTGGGCAGGGATCAGGGGGAGGTGAGTGAGACTAAGTTGGCAACTGCAGGGTAGGAGCCAGTCTTTATTTAAAATTTTGCTATTGTGTTCACTGTGGACTTCTAATTTTGCATCAATTTTGATTTTTTAAGGGATTGCATTACCGAGTTTTTTGGCACCCACTTAAATTTTGCTCCCAAGGTGAGTGTCTCACTCACTCACCCTAGTCCCAGCTGTGCCCAAGTGGCACCTGGGCTCTGGGTCCCAGTAGGCCCATGGAGCCACACTAGAACACAACCTTTCCCTTCTACCGCCTCAGCTCTGATGGGCCAGGGAAGGCTCCTGCAAGAACTACATTCTCCCTGCTTGCAAAAATGAAATGAAGGGTACAGAAAAGTGTCTTCTTTGTCTCCCAGGGAACCAATGGGAAACAGTTGTCATTGATAGAACTGACACTGGACTTTTAGCTGTGCTCTCTTCCAGTGCTTTTATTTCTGGACAGAAATGATAATGAACAAAGGAATTAATGTCCTGAACATGGATTTAGCCAGAGAAACGAGGAGTCAGAGTAACACATTCACCCAAAAAGTATGAAAAACCCCTCCAAAGCATGCTAAGTTCAATAAAAATGAGAGGCTTGATGTACATACATTGTAGATATGATATACAGCCTTTTTAAACGTGAAATGGGCAGGTTACACGTGGTACAGCTAAACTAGCACCAAGGGTACCTTTCCATTCTTGAAGAGAAGAAAATAATACTCTGAAGCTTATTGCTACACTTCTCATCACACTTGCTGATACCCGTGTCCTTGTCTTTTCTCCAAAGATATGCTGACAGTCCTTAGGCAGGGCCAGTCACTGCCCCTCCGTAAAGAACACAGAGGCCCTGCTTTCTCCCCATTTGTGTTTGGTGAGAGTAGAGTGGAGAAAGAGACTAAGGTTTACTAACTCCCGGGTGTTCATACTTTCAGAAACGTTATCTTACTTGATGCCTGGCAGCCCTGTAGGGAGAGAGCCTCTCCGAGAGGATTAGGAGGAAGGGGAAGAAGCTTTAGTTCTGGCATTGGCTACAGCTAGAGCCATGAGGCCTCGAGTTGTCACACTTTTCTCTGGAGGGATAGGATAAGACCAAATGGAATGTTACTACTGTCTTTCATTTTGGCAAGCAGTCTCGTCATAGGATTGTTTGGAAACATGAAATATGGGGGCTTCAGTTCCGTCGTCCTCCATGGAAGTCAACTTTGGACACTGGGTACTTTTTGGAAATTGGAAGCTAAAGCTATAGGTAATAAAAGCTCTAAAAGGAAAGAAGAGAAAATTAGGGATATGGATCTGATTAAAGAGCTCTCAAAATTATCTGCTAACATTAGATGGGTATTGGGTTTTAGGTATTAACATGGTTATATGTCTATTTTATACATTTCTATGCAGATTCAGTAGAAAAAGAATACTTAAATATATATTTAATCCCATAGGATCCCAGAGCACTTGAGGATTTAAACTGATAAGCCAACCTCAAAGGGACTGATTCTTGCAACTAAAACACAGACACCTCTGGGGTGAAATGTGGCAACAGTTTGACAGGCATAGCAGTAGCTTAGGCCAGAAAGGATTTATCCAATTAAAATTATGGGATGAATTTTGGCTGGCAGAATGTAATTACCAGCCTTGGAATGGGTCCAGGATCCTGAGGTTAACACCCCTCCTCTTGCCAACAACCCTCCTACCTGCCAACACTCCGAGACGGGGAAGGCTGGATCTGACACAATCGCACATAATACTGTTGTGACATCTAAGTACAATGATGATGATGTGAGAAGCATCATGAACCTGATTTTTTTTAACACTCATTATGTTACTTATTTTTATGCCACATTAGGCTAGAAACCAAATGTCCACATAAATGTTAATTTCCTCAAATCTGTGTTTAAAAAGTATAATTAGAAAATAAAAAATAGATTTAAAAATTAATTTATTCTGTCAAAGTAGTTACTTAGTGATTACTTCAGTTTAGGAATGAAATTGGATCAAAATGGTGACATTTAATCGTTGCTACATAAAAAAAATAAATAAAAGAAGCAGGTCCTGATTTTTTGGAAGAGAAATGTGTTCTCAGAGTTCACTGGCCTAGAAAAAAGGGAAATAAATGCCTAATGCTTGGTTCCTATTGATTGTAACGTGGACTAGATGGTCGTGTGCAAGTCATGCTTTTGTCCTGGGATGGGTCCAGTTCGCATTTACAAGCGCTCACGGGCAGTGCTCCGCGGGAGGAAATCGACGGAAGGGGCGCTTGTGCCCGCGTGTGAACCAGGGAGAAGCGCCCCCTGCCGGCGGCCGATCGGCGGTAATGACCTCCCCGGGCTCTAATGCCCCGACAGAAGGCCGCCGGTACCGGAGAGCCGTGGAGGCGTCCGAGAGGAAGCGGCGGCGGCGGCGAGGCGGTGCTAAGAGTAACGCTAGGCCTCCGCGGGCGCGGACTCGGGGTGAGGGCCGGGGCCGGGACCCCGAGGGAACGCGGCTGGAGCGCTCCCAGCGCGTCT